AAGGCAACACCTCCTCCCCGCCCATCTCAGTCTCGCCTGACTAAACTATAGTTGATCAAAACCAACTCTCGTATTAACAACAGAGGGTCTCAATGGCATTTTAGTAGTAGGGGAATTTGGTCAGGATAGAAAGAATCAGACATATTATCAACATATATTTTTGTTTATAAATCCGTCTATATGTGATAATAGGTCATTGAATAAAATTCACAAGAGTGTTTTCCAGGGAGTCAATACATTGATTTAAGTTAGATTTAGGAGGTGTATAAATGTTCCTAAGCATATCCTTTTACCACCCTGTCTTATGGAGATCCAGAGTTGTTCAAGAGGAGAATTGCCGTCTTGAGTATTTGAAGTAGAAAATTTAATACCATTTTTGACGTAGAAGGCAACACCTCCTCCCCGCCCATATCAGTCTCGCCTGTTGATCAAACCAACTCCCGTATTAACAACAGAGGGTCTCAATCATGGAATTGACTGTTTCAAACTGGTTTTGAACCAATATCAAAAAAGTAGACGCGAGAAAACGGCTTAGATGTTTGTTTTTTTGTGTTTCAATTCAGATTAAAAATACTATACTAAAATATTTCAGTTCACACCTACAAAACCAATTCACATACTATAGTCCTACACCATCGATGAAACCGCATGGATTATTGATTTTGTAAACATATAATAGGATATAGTAAAAGTGCATTAGTTTAGTTTAATTTTCTTTTTTTCATCTTCACTTCAAACAAAGATACAAGGACAAGAACGCATTCTAAGGTCAGACAAGAGATACCACAATAAGTCTGACAAGGTTGCATTGGTAGAGGACCCTTCTACGCCATCTCCGTTCAATTTGATCTAATCTTCTGCAGAAAAGTTTTCCTTTCAGTTTCTGGAAGTTCTGTAAGATCATAATTGATAAATGGTATGAAAATTTAGATCATTTCGACTACAGCTTAATTTTGACAGTAGTTTTCCACTGTATCAAACCTCACATTAAATTTAGTAGTTGAGCCTAATACTTTCGAGAGTTGAAAGTAGTTGTCCATTTATCATTTATCAGAATAGTTAGCAATCCAACCAAGAGTCTTGGACAATATCATGCAAGGGCTGTAATAGGAAACTTCAACGTGCTACCTTGATATTGGCTATTGACAAGACACTGTTGAGGAAACATCAGCACAGGATGGGGATATTCAATGGACCCATTGCATGCAGACTCTGTTAAGAGAAAGACTAAACAGCTTTCCACATCATCTGCACAATAAGCATAGAAGACCACAGCGCTTAGCTTCCTCCTACGACCAATCAACCAACAATCCAGATTTTTAAAGAATAAGAAATTTAAACCACACTCCTGCCACAAAGTCTCAAATTCTTAGGGCTGCGGATTTCAAGTAAGCGGAATTCCTTATACCAAAGAATAAAAGAATGTCGATTTTTTTTTTGTCTCAAAGTAGAAGAATGTTTGGGTCATCATCATCATCGTCGTCTTCTTCGTCGGCAGAAAAAAAGGCAACGGCGCAATAATACCATCATGGCACAGGTGTGCCCCCGAGTCACGTGTGGCCTCGTGTGTGAATTCGGACAGACAGACCGGAGGATCGGGGGCCCCCCTGGTGGGTGGCCTCTCTCAAGAAAATGTTAGTTTATATGTGCCCCATTGTTCGGCGGACAGATGCAGTGAAAAACCCACAATGGGCCCTATCTGTTTATCGTTCCCGAGAGCGGATTATAGGTTAATAAATAATCGACTGGCTGAGGTTTTTCGGGGCTGCTATATGAGTATCTGGTTACATTATTATTTACGTTTTCGGGGGCATTAATAACTCTTAAAAGGGCCAGCTTTATATGGGAAAGGTAAATATGACAGGAGATTCTTCGAATCATTCACAAAAATTAATACAAGTTTTGACTTTCTTTCAACTGAAGGGTCGTCAAATACAAAAGCACTAAACTCTTTAGGCACCTGCCCACTCGAAAGATACTTGTAATTGTCAATAGATTACCGAGAAGCCCTTTTAATACCCTAGACATTCAGGCACCGTTTATATAATGCTTGTTTTCGCTTCTGCCAAAACCCATTGTCGGATTTTCGGTTTTTCGGATTATAACCGACCATCTTTTCGCATTCAGAACTGGTTTAATTCGGAGACCTTTATTTTTCCACCCATATCGATTTGTACCGATAATAAACACCTGTTCAATGACGTAAATGAAAGTATATTACGGGCCTAACCTAATGCAATAACTTAATTCGATTTTTGTCGCATTTCTATTCGTATTGCATTAATAATTCGATATGATTTAATGTGATACCGTGACAAGTTATTAGTCTATGTCCAATTAATTTGTGACTCGATAATAAACAACGTTGGTTATTTAGATACGTGTTTGATTGAGATTAGATCAGATATATCTAGGCATTAAATTAGCTTACTTATTTGAGATACTTTTTCTAAGCTCTCTTGAAAGTCAAGCTCATCCATCTTGGCTCAACATGCTTCTTTATTTTTTTTTTTTCAGATTGGTCCGGCCTCAGACGACCTAAGCAGAAGAAATTCAGTGACGAATAACCCTCCGTTTGAAGACATTCAGGAAATGGAGTAAGAGGTAAGGAGTTCCAGAGGTGGACAGAAGGACTATATTTAGAGGTCCTTGCGGTAGCCAACTTTACCACATACGGATGACATGCCTGTGTGTTATTCTCTCTTCTCCTAAGAACATCTCCCATGGTGAAAGTGATAGAATAACGACAAATCAGCCACCTTGCATCTATGTTCCAAAGACTGTAATGAATCGGTGAGAGTTGGTTGATCACTTATTGCTCTTCTTTGTACTGCATCTTATAGAATCAACGAATGCTCGGGAGCATCGCTCTGGATGGGGAAACAGTATTCCATACATGGTCTTCTTATAAAGGAGAAGAATAGTTGTTCAGAAGTAGCAGAAGCTTTTTGCACAAAAAACCCAATGTTTCAGAAGCGATTTTGGTGATCGTAGATACATGGTCATCCCCAAGAAGAGATACTGAGGGATTGTTAATTATTGTTAGAAATGTTTTGTTCCGACATCCGACAGTATTTTACGCCCTCATTGACACAGGAGCCACTAATTCCTATATGGGAGATGTATAAGTGGAACTTTGCCGTTCTAGCAAAATCCCGAAGATAACGCCTTCTGTTGAAAGCGCCAAGGTAGCCAATGGCTAGCTCGCTTCCATAACAGAGGCGTACAGTATTTTGATGAATGGAGTTCACCAATCGTTATAGTGAAAAAGAAAGATGGGTCCGTTACCAGGGAAGATACCTTATATCAACGCTATCCTGGATAAGCTGAGAAGAGCCAGATATATCTCTAGCATTGATTTGAAGCAGGGATATTGGCAGATACCAGTTGCCCCTGGGAGCAGACCAATTACAGGGTTTACCATACCATCCCGAGGTCTTTTTCATTTTAGGGTCATGCCGTTTGGTCGCCATTCCGCCCCGGCTACTTTCCAGAGGCTTATGGATAGAATAATAACTGTTTCGCCTATTTAGACGACATCATTATTCTGGGGAAAACCTTCGAAAAGCACCTAAGCAATCTACAAGAGGTATTTGGCCGTCTCCGAAATGCAAATCTGAAAATCAACCCAGAAAAATGTCAGTTTGGCCGCCGTTATTTGAAGTGTTTAGGTTATATGGTTACCGCAACCGGAATTCACACTGATCCCGACAAGGTAGCTGCTATATAGGAATTACCGCCTCCCTTAAATGTCCGTGGTCTTCTCAGACTCTTAGACCTGTAGATTTGTTCTCGGTTTAGCACAGATCGCGGCTCCGTTAAATCGACTTCTGAAGAAAGCGACTCGTTGGACTTGGACGAGTAAACAAGATGAAGCATTTCGACATTTGAAGATAAGGTTAACCAATGCGCCAATTCTGGCTTGTCCAGATTTTCAAAAGTCATTCATTCTGCAAACCGATGCAAATAACTTGGGAGTAACATTGATACAACATAATCATGTCATAGCCTTTGCAAGCAGAAGCCTATTATCAGCTGGAAAAAAGTATTCCGTCACTGAGAAAGAATGTTTAGCAATAGTATAGGGAGACGAGAAGATGCGTCCATATCTCGAAGGTTAAAGATTCACGGTCCTCACTGATCATCAATCTCTCCGATGGCTACATTCTCTGAAAAGTCCTAGTGGACGTCTTGCTCGGTGCAGCGTTTTCTTCAGCAATACGATTTCGAAATTAAGTACCGCAAAGGCGTGCTTAATCCAGTAGCCGACGCACTATCCCGTCAACCCATGTTAGCTGATGTGAAAGAGGAAGGCGATCATCTCATTTGGTACCGAAACAAGAAGGAAAAAGTAGAGAAAAATCCCGCCGCGTTTTCGGACTACTGGAAAGTTGTTTCGACATTTCTGGGATTCTTCGGATCTGACTGAACCAGACATGACAGATCCTTGGAAGTTTTGCGTACCAAGGCCCGCTAGAGAAACCGTATTAAAGGAGAACTACGACTTTCCGACCGCAGGCCAGATGGGGATCGCGAAAACCACCGCTCGAATGGCCTTTCGATACTATTGGCCTAGAATGTTTCGTCCAATATGTCAGAAACTGCAAATAAATCAGGAATTCAAGTCCTCTCAACAAAAAACACCCGGAAAGATGCGACCGTCTAAAAATAACTCCCGATGGGAGACCGTAAGTGCCGACCTTGTTGGACCATTGTCCCGTTCCTCCAAAGGAAACTGCTTTCTAGTGTTTTTTCAAGACCGTTTTACCAAGTGGGTAGAATGTCGAGCCCTTACTGGTCGTACTGTAAGTCAAGCATTACATGAGTTTATTCTATCTAGGTTTTGGAGAACAAACACAATAATAACTGACAACGTTACAAAATGGCGCCCGAGCAGGGACTTTAGTGCGCAAGTACAATCTGAAAACGCCAACCCGACCTGAGTGAAGGAGATCCCTTTTAAAATGTTTGTCTTACAACTGTTTTTTAGCTACATGACGATGACATCCGAAAATGATGAAAAAGAAGCTACCGAAGAAATGCACCTCAATACCGATCCCGAGAAAGACGAAAAACAACGGCCATTGATACAAATACATCCACCACCATTATCTCCGCCACCAGACCATAGTACTAGTGATTTTCGGACCAGCTGGATCTATCTGCTACGTCAAAATGATCTGATATTGCAACTGCAGAAATTCAACCTGGACGATTCTGGAAACGTTGAGCAGCTACGACGCCGACTTGCCAGATTCATTACACCCCCGCCGTCAAGAAATGGCGCGTTTGTTTTTCCTCCTTCCACAACTACACCGGTCCCAACTGCGTCATTAATTACCATCACAACAATAACCTGGACGACTTCCGCAGCTACAACCGCAGCTCAAAGTTCAGGTTCTAGTAGAACTACAACAACTGCCGTCACAACCACGTCAACATCACCAAGACACATTCATTCGTATTACCAGCCAATTCAACCACGATATTATCCGACCTACCCTAATGCAATGTATTATTCGCCGTCGGCTCATAATCTACTGGTGCACCAAAACCACCAAGACCACATATGAGAACCCGAGAATGGAATTTGAGCTTTGACGGATATAAGGACCCGGCAAACTTCCTGGAAAGATTGACAGACATTTGTGACTCTGGAAACATTTCCTGAGATCTGATGTTACTTCACATGCCCGATTTACTTCAAGGTGAAGCTGCTCTGTAGTTCAGAAATAACAAGCCTACCTTGAGGAACTGGAATGAGTTTGTTTCCGAATTCCGACAATTCTATTTTCCAGTTAATTACGAAGTAGACCTGGAAGCCAAAATAAGCCGCCGAACACAGAGAAGAAATGAATCCTCTTCTTCCTATGTCACGAAACTCCAGACACTCCTCCGAAGACATGGCAATATTACTGGAACTTACTAACCGACAGTATATTCGCAGAAGCGACTTCACCGATGCTGCATCCCTGGCCAGGCTAATTCGCAAATTTAAATTGTTAAATAAAGAAATCAGTGTCTCTCGACCCGCCACTGGAAATAGACAAGACTCTCAATAAAGACGACCGATCTCTACATCTTTGGAGGCATCCAGTTTCCCAAACATGTCAGCAGAACGACCACCCGTTGTTCAGCCGGGACCGTCACGAGAAATATATACAAATAGTTTGTTGGCTTTGTGGGAGTACCGGACTTTTAAGGAGTTGTCAAGTCCCGAGAAAACTATTCTGTTCACGATGTGGCAAGCAGGACATACTGTCCCGTGACTGGTTCCTGTGGAAAACCGGAAAACTAGTAAGGCGCTGTACCCAGATGAGACCAGTACAGAAAAATGCCGATAAGTTCTCGCTTGATATCTTATCTAAATCAATAGATGACAAACCGAAAATACAAGTCACCGTTCAAGACAAAGTAAATAGGGTGACTATTATCATTCCCGGCACAATGTATAGTGCTAGTGTTTCATAGTGTGGTGAATTAATTTGATTAAACTAGTTGTATTATTTGCACTGAACCTTGGATCATCGTCTTCTTCACTGTTTAGTACCCGACAGGCATATCAGCGGTCCCCTAGTCCCCTTTGACGCTGTAAATCACAAAGGGGTGGCGCCCGAGAAATCCGAAATACCGGAACAGACAGGAAAATAGGGAAACGTTTCAAAAATGGTGTCATTAAGCTACTATCGTTCGCAAAGCTGTATATGGGGTTTCTTGTCACATTTACCAAATCATTTATAGAAATGTGAAACAGTGTTGGGGATAGAATTGAGCCTGGGGAATGCTGGCATTTATAGGCAGTGTAGCAGAAGAAACACCATTGACATGCAGTCTAAAAAGGTTCTTGTGGTTCTTAAATAACCTCTCCTCAAAACATCTCCCATGGTAAAAGCGATAGAATAACGACAAATCACCCACCTTGCGTCTATGTTCAAGAAATTGCAATGAATCGGTGAGAGTTGGAATATCGGTGAGAGTTGGATTATCGATCAGTGGAAGTGTGGAAGTCAAGATCACTATTGATAGTGTGAATCTGTTCTCGGGCGAGGAGTCACTTCCACTCTAGTAAACGGTTTGTCAGAAGAGAAAGATGTCATCAAGCTATCGTTCGCAAAGTTGTATATGGGTATCTTATCACATTTACCAAATCATTTATAGAAATGGGAAACAGTGTTGGAGACAGAATTGAGCTTGGGGAATGCCGGCAGTTATAGGCAGTGTATCAGAAGACACACAATAACTTCTCCTCAGAACATCTCCCATGGTAAAAGCGATAGAATAACGACAAATCACCCACTTTGCGTCTATGTTCGAGAGATTGCAATGAATCGGTGAGAGTTGGATAACGGTTGGTAAACGGTTTCTCAGAAGAGAAAGATGTCATCAAGCGTTGGCAAAGCTGTATATGGGGTTTCTTGTCACATTCACCAAATCATTTATAGAAATGGGAAACAGTGTTGGGGATAGAATTGAGCCTGGGGAATGTTGGCATTTATGGGCAGTGTATCAGAAGACACCTGAAATGGAAAACTGAGAAGCTCTTTAAAGGTCTCACATGTATTATCAATAAATGCCTAAATAGACATCCTGTTCCACAAGACTGGAAAACGGCTTTTATATCATCCATTCACAAAAAAGGAAATAAGCTGGATTGCAATAACTAGTGGGGCATATCAGTCACAAGCACACTAAGCAGACGATACGGTAGAATCCTGCGTGATCTCATTGAAGAACAAGAAGAAGAAGAGCAGTGCCGCTTTAGAGCAGGAAGATCAGGTACGGACAACGTATTTTGCCTAAAACAAGTCATAGAAAAGAGATCTGCTAGATATTTGGAAACCCACCTCACATTTGTTGACCTACAAAAAGCATACGATACAGTCCCATTATCCAGACTATGGAAGGCATTAGAACACACAAACATCAATCACACCTACAAAACGGCACTTAAAGAACTATATAAAGACTCAAAATCAAGAATTAAGATAGGTAAAAAACTCACAGACACATTTATAGTAAATAAAGGACTACGTTAAGGATGTTGTATCTCTCCTACGCTTTTTAAAATATACGCAGCAGTAGCACTGAAAAATTGGAAGAGGAAGATCCATGGAATGGGTATAGAGATAAATGATAGGTGCCTGGTTTACTCTTCAGTTTGCAGATGATCAGGTTATAGTGGCCAGTGACAAAGAGGACATGCAATATATGATTAGAAAGCTGATAGAAGAGTATCAAGAATGGGGCCTGAGAGTTAATATAAATAAAACAAAATATCTATGTGTAGGCAACCAGAACGGAAACTTGGAAAGGGACGATGGTCAGGAAATTCTGCAATGTCAAGAATATGAATATCTAGGTATCACATTCGACAACACCGGAACAGACGTGAAAGAAACAGAAAAGCGAATAGTTAAAGCTAAAAAAGTAATAAGATGCCTAAATGGAATATTAGGGAGCAAGGAAATTACAAAGAAGAGAAAATTTAATATATACGAGACAATGATAAAGAGCAGCCTTCTATATGGAGCCGAGACTTGGAGAATTACAGACAGACAAAAGAAAAAAGTGGAAGCAGTTGAAATGGATGCTATTAGAAGATCCATGCGAATCTCACGAAGAGACAGAATAAGGAACGACAATATAAAACAACAAATGGGTATAGAAGGTACGATAGTCCAGAACATTGAAAAGAAACAACTTACCTGGTACGGACACGTAGAACGAATGCCAAATGACAGATGGCCCAGAAAAATGCTGCACTGGCAACCAACAGGTAAAAGAAAACGAGGAAGATCAAAACTGGAATGGCAGAAGACCATACAAAAGTCCATGAGTGAAAGAAACCTCTCATCAGAGGATTGCGATTATAGAAGAGGATGGAAATTAGGTGTCGGACAACGAAGAAAGACGTTCTAAAACGACATGTATATATGTATCAGAAGACACACCATCGACCATAACATACAGTGACCTGCATTCCAAAAAACTCCCCAGTCAATGGCAAAATTGGTTCGGAAGATCATACAATGGAAGTTTGCTGAGGAGATCTTTGTGCCACACTTGATCAAAAGCCAATTCTGAATTCGTCATGCTTCAAAATATGACTGACGTACTCCAGCAGATCCCCTGTCGATCTTTTGGAATGAAATCCGTACTGTTAGTCAGAGATGAGTTTATTGGCTTCCAGGTATCAGATGATGCCTGAGGACATCACCCAAATAATGTAGACCATCAAGAAGAGTAAACTAGAATAAGTTAATAATGGTAGTAATGAAACTAAATACATCTTTGAAGATGTCTAGATAAAGATCCATAGAACGACAATCTGGCTGAAGCACCCTGTCCAAGCAAAATTGAACTAAAATAACAATGTCATATCAAGATAAACCAGTCTTCATTTTGAAGGACTCTTAGGATATTGTCCATAATTCTTTGGAAAGTTGAGGGTGCATTTTTCAACCCAAACGGCTTTAGTTGTTTCTGACTGGTCAACGAAGTAGAACTGATGCACTGACCTTAAGGCATTAAATGATTAATGAGTTCGGGCTTGAGCACTTCAGGTGCAACAAACACTTTTCGAAAGAAATAAGCGCATAACGCCCCTAACCTGTTCCGTAGTTCCTCCCAGGTGTGAAAGGAATACAACTATTACCTAAGTCAAGTTTCGCAGGAGACCTTGCACAGATAAGACTTCGATATAATTGAAGACGACACTTAGTTTGCAGAAGTTGTAATAGCACTTCAGGCTCAAATTACAGAACAAAGGTCCATTACTGATTGAAGATCACTAATAAGAGATGATCAATCAATAGACTGATTGTTTCTAGTTCATCGCTAATTCTAGGACATCATTATGCCGCAACTAGAAATTTGCGTGTTATGCAAAAACCTCCCATCAATAAACCGGGTGTCTGTTTTGAAATAACATTTTAATATTTCGCTGCAAACAAGAGTAGGAATCGGTCGTTGCTAGTTTTAATTAAATACTATTTTTGTACTTGGACCGAGCCGCCGGCCGTAAAACCAAAAACCAATTCTCCAGTCAACAAAGAAATAAACTAGACGCAAAAATCGCATATAAAAGTCTATTTTTAGGCGTACGTTATAAATAAATTTATTGTTTAATATTTAATTAGTTTTGGACGGGATCCTGATGGGTTCTAGTCTAGAGACTTTTATTACTCTCCACCGTCTTCTAGCTTTAATAAGATTCCGTAAAAGCGACTAAACTAAAAAGGCTGTGTTGTGTGTGAAAAGACTGTGGAATTTTGATTTCAATATAAACGGTGCCTTCACGTCTCTTGCGGTCGCCGCATTAATGCAACAGGTGCAGCGTTTCGAGAGACAACCTCTTCTTTGGACGCTGAAGAGCTCGTTACGATCGATAGAGATGAGCTACAATTTGATCGATATCGATTTTTTTCATCAAATTCACACAAAAATGTGATCAACAATAATTGTTCATAGACATGTTGGATGTTGGAATGAGATGCAAAATAGTTTCTTCTTGAAAATAACCACTATCGGATTTAATTATTGCACTTCCCTGAATGTAATAATTTTTGTCATA